TCCGCAGCCTGTCCGGTCACAGCCACAGCTACAGCCTGCCTCCCCTTTGCCTGCTCCTTCTCCCTACGCTGGTCCGACTGGAGGTCTTACTGAGCGTCGTGAGCCTGCGTCTCGTCCTGCGTCGCCTGTTCGTACTGAGCGCGCTAGTGGTCGCGGGTCGCGTCAGCGTCCTCCTCCTGTCCCTGGCACGCACCGGATGTCACTGCGTCCGTCCACTGCTCCTCTGCGTGCCCCTTTGCCTTCTCCTCCTGCTTCCTCTCTTCCTGCTCTTGCCGACCCGGAGTCGGACTCTCTTCGTGCTGCCAGTCCTACTGTCACGCGTCTCCTTGCTACTGCTGTCACTGACCCTTCCTTCGAGTCGTCTGCTGCGTCTGCCCTTGTCACTGAGCTTGTCGACTTTGCTGCGCGCTGTCGTCTAGACTACGCTGCTCGTCTTGTCGCTGAGTCTGAGTCCGCCTGTCCTCCGTCCGTCGGGGGTGAGTGTGCCCTTGGCACGGACGTCCTAGAGGACAGGCAGGAGGAGTTCCAGTGTCTAGCCGCTGCTTCACCTCGTCTCGCGTCTGTACTGCTAGCCCCTGAGGGAGACCCGGATGCACTAGACATCCCGACTCCGCGTTCTTACGCGGAGGCCGTAGAGGGTCCCTACTCCTCTCAGTGGCAAGCAGCTATGGATGCAGAGATGGCTTCCTGGAAGTCCACAGGCACCTACGTTGACGCGGTTCCCCCTCCTGGGGCGAACATCGTCAGTGGCATGTGGATCTTCAGGGTGAAGCGGCCGCCGGGCTCGCCGCCTGTCTTCAAGGCGCGTTACGTGGCTCGTGGCTTCAGTCAGCGGCAGGGAGTTGACTACCTTCAGACCTTCTCTCCCACCCCGAAGATGACCACTCTTCGGGTGCTGCTGCACATTGCCGCTCAGCGCGACTACGAGCTTCACTCTCTCGACTTCAGCACTGCGTTCCTGCAGGGTAGCCTGCACGAGGAGATCTGGCTGCGCCGTCCGCCTGGCTTCACTGGGACTTTCCCTCCTGGCACCCAGTGGAGTCTCCGACGGCCAGTCTACGGTCTCCGCCAGGCACCGCGTGAGTGGCACGACACACTGAGGACTACGCTTGCGGCTCTTGGGTTTGCTCCTTCTACTGCTGACCCGTCGCTGTTTCTTCGCACCGACACTTCCCTGCCGCCGTTCTACATCCTCGTGTACGTCGACGACTTGGTCTTTGCCACAGCGGACACTGCTGGACTCGCCTACGTGAAGTCCGAGCTGCTGAAGAGACACACGTGCACAGACCTGGGTGAACTGCGCAGCTACCTTGGCTTGCAGATCACTCGGGACAGAGCACGCCGCACCATTACCTTGACTCAGTCACACATGGTGCAGCAGGTCCTTCAGCGCTTCGGCTTCACGTACTCCTCGCCTCAGGCCACTCCTCTGCCTACTCGCCACTCACTCTCAGCTCTGCCTTCGGATGAGTCCGTAGAGTCGAGTGGTCCGTATGCAGAGCTTGTTGGCTGCCTCATGTACCTGATGACCTGCACTCGACCTGACCTTGCATACCCTCTGAGCATCCTTGCACGCTATGTTGCTCCTGGGAGACACCGACCAGAGCACATGGCTGCAGCGAAGAGGGTATTGCGCTACCTGTGCAGTACGTCGGGCATGGGGCTAGTGCTTGGAGGGCGGAGTCCAGTGGTCCTTACTGGGCACGCAGACGCTTCTTGGGCTGACGACCAGGCTACGCAGCGGTCGTCACAGGGTTACACCTTCAGCCTTGGTTCCGGCTCTGTCTCGTGGCGGTCTACTCGCTCGTCTTCGGTTCTCGGCTCCAGTTGTGAGGCTGAGATCTACGCCGGGGCCATGGCTGCACAGGAGCTTCGCTGGCTCACCTACCTGCTGACTGACCTTGGAGAGCTGCCTCGTTCTCCTCCAGTGCTGTACGTAGACAACAAGGCCATGTTGGCCTTGTGTCGAGAGCAGCGCTTGGAGCACAGAACGAAGCACATTGCTCTCCGCTACTTCCTTGCTCGTGAGCTGCAGCAGCGTGGTCAGTTGCGACTTGCTTACGTGGCCTCTGAGGCCAACACTGCTGATGTGTTCACCAAGGCACTTGCGCCTTGCGACCATCAGCGCTTTTGTACCCAGCTGGGTCTTGTACCTGTCTTGCCTCACTTGCTCTCTTCTTGACTTTACTTGTACTTTGACATACATATACCTGCTCTTGCTTGTCTAGTTTTATATATATGTCTTTACTCCTGCATGTGAACTGGCCTCTGGCCTTGCTCTTGTGCTCGGACTGTGTGGTGACTTTGTGATCCACCCTGAGCTTGTTTTGCTTTGCTTGACTGGTCTTGTGACCCCTTGTTCTCCCCCACTTTGCCTATGGGGGTGTGTCAGATTATTATAGCTGATGCATGTTTGTAGGCCATAGTGGGGTAGCACATATGGGGTACAGTTTGCTAGGGTTGTATTTGTACCCAACTCTGACTTAGTCAATTCATTCCTCTGCTCATAGTTTCACAATTGCAACGAGGTAGTTATGGACGAACAGGGGGCGGAAGAGTAGCTTACTGTTAAACATAGGTTCTTAGCTTAAGACGTATGAGGAAGGAGGCTAGGAGAAAGATATCGAGGTCGACAAAAAGAGGGTTTTCATTATGGAAAGGAGGATACAAATAGGAGGACCAACTCTAATATCATGTTAAACATAGTTTTTTTTTTTTTTTTTTTTTGCTTATAACGTACTTAGGAAGAAGGCTAGGAGAAGGGTGCCGAGATTGACAGAATGAGGGTTTGCATTAAAAAACAAAAATTAAGAAACAAATATATACGCATAGCAATGAGAAGGTACATCACCAATAGTAAAGCGTCAGATAAATATATGTTTTTTTCGTAGATATTACAAATATTATGTTCAGATATTTCTCCCTATTGTGTACATTTGGAAGCATAAACTCAATTATATAATGTGTCGCAGAATACAGTAAATGAAACATATATGTAATGTATATTCAATAAATGAATTATATACGTAAATAGTGATACAGAAGCATTTTTTTTGCCCTAAGCACTGTCGGCCTATCATGACTGATTGTAAGGAAAATTCCTTTTCCTTACTTCGCGTCCCTGCTCAGCGCGCACACCACTGTTTCCGCCAACAGCACCCAACAGTAATCCGTTACCATTCGCGACACTCGCATTGACACTGTTCCCGCCACTGTTCACGACGCGACCCAACCTCACGGTTCGGTTGGTAACCCGCGCTCCGGACCTCCGCCTCGGCCATTCCCAACTTCTGCGCCAGGCCCGTCGCGCACCCCATTTTTCACGCATTACCGTTACCACTATAGTTTCGCTATATATTCTTAGCTCATGCCTTAGCTCATTGTACTTTTGCTTAGATAGTGCAATTCTCACTCGCTCACTCAATTGCACTCGTAACTGAGGCTCGGCTTGTGTCAGGCATCAGCAAGGAAGATTGGTCTGGAATGGGGCTCCTTCTTGCCTCCAAACCGCCAAACACCCAACCTTTTCCAAGATCTGTAAGGTGGCTTCCGCGGGAAAGCCTCCATTTGCGTAGTTGGACTGGTTTGGCTCCCTTTCACCGACCATTTGCCAATCACGTGGCTCCTGGAGGTCTGCTTTCTGGTTTGTGGGCGCGGAGCTGACCTGGCCTGCAAGAAACTCATCACCAAGCCTCCCTTTTGACTTTCCGTAAATGTGTGACCGAACCCTAGATTTGGGGAAAGAAATTGCTTAGGGAATTCCGAACTTACTTCCCGCCAAACAGAAGAAGAGTTCCTACAAATTCCCGCCAAAGCAGCATCACCGCACCTCTCGATGCTCCCAAGAAAACTCAAAACAGCACAAGGATTTCCGAAGGCCGGCAGTTCTTCTCTCTCAATCCTAAAAGTAGGTAGCTATCTGCTCTAGGAGTCTCCCAATCAATGAACTGGGTCAAGAAGTTGTTGGAAGCTGCTGGTGCCTACTGCTGTGGATCAGCCAGCTTGACCAGTCTCGTCCTGCAGCGCAATTAATCACTAGTGTGCCACATTTTACAGACTGCCGTGTTCTTGAATGTGAAGCTGAATGGACACAGAGGAGCCGTCCAAATACGGTGTCCAGGTGGTTTGAGCACCTGAGGTGTCTTAGAACGTGTTATTCCGTATATTCAAGAAAAAAGGAAAAGAGGTTGCTCGCCGGACCTGTCACGTCATCTGGCTGCTGCGGCTAGTTCTGGATCGTGCTATCACGACAAACCAGCTTCTGCGGATAGAAGGATTTTTTATAAGGCCGTCGTCGTCTTTCAGCGCATACGGGACGGTGTAGTGCGGTCGGCCTCATTTTTCCTCTCGTCGCCAAGAAGTAGACACTTAGCAACGCAAGTCTTAAAGTCTTCGCCCCCCCTGACTTATTCTTTGTAGTCAAGATGTGTGGCATCTTCGCTTACTTGAACTATGAGTGTCCAAAGCAGCGCTCCGAAATCCTCGAGATACTTTTTAACGGCCTAAGAAGGCTCGAGTACCGAGGCTATGATTCCGCTGGAATCAGCGTTGACGCCGATACTGACGCAGAAGCGGTGATTACTGCGCTAGCAGAGATTGACGAAACCGAAGCGTCTGCGAAATCGCTTGCGGACATCACGAATGTTACTCCATCAGAACGTAAAGGCGCTGAACCACTGGTATTCCGACAGAAGGGGAAGATCGCCAACCTCGTAAAGAAAGTTCGCCAAGGTACGACTTTGCTATCAACTTGATTCCACAACGAACAGAACAGTTAAGCAAAAACCACTGCGTTTCGTCTGTAACTGCCCGTTGTACGAATGAAAAAGAAACGAATCGATGCAGTTGCCTTCCGCTCCCCTCGCTTTTTCCTCTTTACTATCCAACCCCTCTCCTTCGACTCCTCTTTTCTCCTTCCTCTCCTCCTCTCCCACCCCTTTTCTTGGCTCCCTCCTTTCCAACTGGCCCTCTGAACAGACGCTGCGGATTCGAAACTGGATATGAGCCGCGCGTTCCCCCGTCACGTCGGCATTGCGCACACGCGGTGGGCCACTCACGGCGCGCCGTCCCCGCGCAACTCGCATCCTCAGTCGTCCGGTCCGAGCCACGACTTTCTGGTGGTGCACAACGGGATTATCACCAACTACAAGGTACAGTGTTGCGTCAGCTCTTACTGCTTTCTTGGAAATGAACCCCGGGTTCGACGCATGACTTTCTAGTGGTGCACAACGGGATAATCACCAACTACAAGGTACAGTGTCGCCTCAGCTTTTACTGCTTCCCTGAGAATGAATCCTAAGACACCTCAAGATTCGTCCGGTCTGAACCACGACCTTCTGGTGATGCACAATGGAATAATAACAAACTGCAAGAAACCTGAACGAGGGATATTAAGCAAGCTCTTCTTGGCTCTTCCGTCCCTTCCCCACACTCCCCACACTCCTTTCTCACTCCCCACACTCCTTTCTCACTCCTCCACATTACTTCTGCACCCCATCCCCATGCGCTGAAGGGCGCTCTTCAGCGGCACTGCTTCACGTTCGAGTCAGAGACAGACACCGAGGTGGTCCCGAAGCTCGCCGAGTTCCCCCTACACTCCTTCACACTCCCCCACACCCCTCCGCACTCCCCCATACCGCGTCCTGCAGGCGCTGAAGGGCACCCTCCAGAAGCACGGCTTTACGTTCGAGTCAGAGACAGACACCGAGGTGATCCCGAAGCTCGCCAAATTCGTGTACGACAATCTGCTGCAGTCGGAAGGGGGGCATGGCGGCGAGGGCATGGCGAATGGCGTCTCGAGCATGGCCAATGGCGTGTCGGGCAAGACAGGTAGGGGAAGGGCAGGGAGAAGGGCTTGGGTGCTGGGAACGGGAGGGGCGGTAAGAGGGAGGAACAGCGAGAGGTTGTTGCGAAGCTGGTGGGCGCCGACGCCCTCATTCTCCCCACCTCATCCTCCTCCCCTCATCCTCCCTTCTCCTCCCAACACCTCATTTCCCGCACACTCTTCTCCCCATCAGTAAACGTTTCCACCAGTGGTGAGCGTGTGGCGTTCACACAGGTCGTGATGGAGGTGATGCTTTGGCTAGAAGGCGCCTACGAGGTGACTTTTGAGTCGACTCAAAAGTCATCCAGTGGTGAGCGAGTGGCGTTCACACAGGTCGTGATGGAGGCAATGCTTTGGCTAGAAGGCGCCTACGAGGTGACTTTTGAGTCGACTCAAAAGTCATCCAGTGGTGAGCGAGTGGCGTTCACACAGGTCGTGATGGAGGCAATGCTTTGGCTAGAAGGCGCCTACGAGGTGACTTTTGAGTCGACTCAAAAGTCATCCAGTGGTGAGCGAGTGGCGTTCACACAGGTCGTGATGGAGGCAATGCTTTGGCTAGAAGGCGCCTACGAGGTGACTTTTGAGTCGACTCAAAAGTCATCCAGTGGTGAGCGAGTGGCGTTCACACAGGTCGTGATGGAGGCAATGCTTTGGCTAGAAGGCGCCTACTCGCTGCTCTCCCTTCTCCCTCGTACTTGTCCGTTACCCCTTCCATTCCTCATTTCCACTACCAGCACGCACTACAAACCACCCAATTTCCACTCCACAGTCAACGGTTCCACCAATGGAGGTGATGCGGCAGCTAGAAGGGGCCTACGCGCTGCTCTCCCCCTCTCTCTTCTGCTCACTCTCGTCTTTCTCCCCACACTCCACTCTCCACTCCCCACAGTCAACGGTGCCACTGCCGCCAAGGGTGAGCGCGTGGCGTTTACACAGGTGGTGATGGAGGTGATGCGGCAGCTGCGAGGGCGCCTACGCGCTGCTCCCTCTCCTCTCTCGTCCTTGCCTCTTCCCCGTCCAGTCCTCATTGCCACTCCCCACACCCCACCCCCACTACCCCCTCCACAGTCAACGGTGCCACAGGTGGGGAGCGGGTGGCGTTCACGCAGGTGGTAATGGAGGTGATGCGGCAGCTGGAGGGCGCCTACGCGCTGCTCTTCAAGAGCCCGCACTTCCCCAACCAGCTCGTCGCCTGCAAGCGCGGCAGCCCGCTCCTCCTGGGCGTCAAAGTCCCCTCCGACGGCCGCAAATCCGCGTTTGATATAGTGGGCGCGGAGGAACCGGGAGGGGTGGTGAGAGGTGGAGCCGTGCCGACTGGGCCGAGAGAGTTGTTCCTAGCGAGCGATGCGAGCGCGGTGGTAGAGCATACGAAGAAAGTGATGGTTATAGAGGATAACGAAGTGGTGCATATCAGGGACGGGGTCGTTTCTCTGTTTTCGTTCGAGCCGGATAAGGCCAAGCGCGGTTTACCCCCCACGACGGCGCTGCAGCGGGCGCTCTCGACGCTAGAGATGGAGGTGGAGCAGATCATGAAGGGGAGTTATGATCATTTCATGCAGAAGGAGATTCACGAGCAGCCTGAGTCGCTCACCATGACGCTGAGGGGAAGGCTGATTCACGGCAAGGCGGATTCGCTGTCTCCTACTGCGTCTAATGCATGCAGCTCCCTTCCGCCCTCCGCCTCCGCAGCAGCAGCGGTAGCAGCGGCAGCTGTAACTGCTGGTGACTCTACTGCTGCGGCTGCCGCTGCTGGTTCGAATGGAAGCAGCCCAGTAGCTTCAACCGCAGCAGCACCAGGAGGAGCAGGTGCAGTCTCCAGCCTGCCGCCCCTCTCCCCTCTTTCCAAACTCTCCCCTGTCAGCCGCGTAGGCTCCTCAGCGCCTTGGTCAGAGGAAAAAGGGGTGCTACTAGGCGGTCTCAAGGACCATCTCCTCACCATCCGCCGCAGCAGGCGCATCATTTTCGTCGGCTGCGGCACCAGTTACCACGCAGCCCTCGCCGTGCGTCCTCTGCTAGAAGAGCTTTCCGGGGTGGCGGTTCAGCTGGAGCTGGCGAGCGATATGTTGGACAGAAACGCGCCGGTGTATAGGGAGGATACGGCGGTGTTTATGAGCCAGTCGGGGGAGACGGCGGACACGCTGTCGGCGTTGGAGTATGCGCGGGCGAGGGGGGCGCTGTGTGTGGGCGTGACTAACACGGTGGGGAGTGCTATTGCCAGGCGGACACACTGCGGCGTGTTCATCAACGCGGGGGCTGAAATCGGCGTTGCCAGCACCAAGGTGAGCTGCTGCTGGTAGCCTGGTTGGGAGGGGGGCACTATGTGGGGGCGAGGGGGCGTTGGAGTATGCGCGGGCGAGGGGGGCGCTGTGTGTGGGCGTGACTAACACGGTGGGGAGTGCTATTGCCAGGCGGACACACTGCGGCGTGTTCATCAACGCGGGGGCTGAAATCGGCGTTGCCAGCACCAAGGTGAGCTGCTGCTGGTAGCCTGGTTGGGAGGGGGGCACTATGTGGGGGCGAGGGGGCGTTGGAGTATGCGCGGGCGAGGGGGGCGCTGTGTGTGGGCGTGACTAACACGGTGGGGAGTGCTATTGCCAGGCGGACACACTGCGGCGTGTTCATCAACGCGGGGGCTGAAATCGGCGTTGCCAGCACCAAGGTGAGCTGCTGCTGGTAGCCTGGTTGGGAGGGGGGCACTATGTGGGGGCGAGGGGGCGTTGGAGTATGCGCGGGCGAGGGGGGCGCTGTGTGTGGGCGTGACTAACACGGTGGGGAGTGCTATTGCCAGGCGGACACACTGCGGCGTGTTCATCAACGCGGGGGCTGAAATCGGCGTTGCCAGCACCAAGGTGAGCAGCTGCTGGTAGCCTGGTTGGGAGGGGGGCACTATGTGGGGGCGAGGGGGCGTTGGAGTATGCGCGGGCGAGGGGGGCGCTGTGTGTGGGCGTGACTAACACGGTGGGGAGTGCTATTGCCAGGCGGACACACTGCGGCGTGTTCATCAACGCGGGGGCTGAAATCGGCGTTGCCAGCACCAAGGTGAGCTGCTGCTGGTAGCCTGGTTGGGAGGGGGGCACTATGTGGGGGCGAGGGGGCGTTGGAGTATGCGCGGGCGAGGGGGGCGCTGTGTGTGGGCGTGACTAACACGGTGGGGAGTGCTATTGCCTGGCGGACACACTGCGGCGTGTTCATCAACGCGGGGGCTGAAATCGGCGTTGCCAGCACCAAGGTGAGCTGCTGGTAGAGAAGGGGGCGCTGTGTGGGCGAGGGGGGCGCTGTGTGGGCGAGGGGGGCGCTGGGTGGGCGAGGGGGGCGCTGTGTGGGCGTGACTAACACGGTGGGGAGTGCTATTGCCTGGCGGACACACTGCGGCGTGTTCATCAACGCGGGGGCTGAAATCGGCGTTCCCAGCACCAAGGTGAGTTGCTGGTAGAGAAGGGGGCGCTGTGTGGGCGAGGGGGGCGCTGTGTGGGCGAGGGGGGCGCTGTGTGGGCGAGGGGGGCGCTGTGTGGGCGAGGGGGGCGCTGTGTGGGCGTCACTAACACGGTGGGGAGTGCTATCGCCTGCCGCACGCACTGTGGAGCGTTCATCAATGCGGGGGCTGAAATCGGCGTCGCCAGCACCAAGGTGAGATGGTTGTAGGGAACGGGGCGTTGTGTGGGGGAGAGGGGCGAAGCGAAGGGGGTGCTGTGTGTGGGCGTGACTAACACGGTGGGGAGTGCCATTAGCAAGGTCCTGGTGTTTTAGTTTTCACTTCCGCTTCGGCGATGTTTCATTCTCTGGTGCGTTGCTGCATTTTATGTTGAAAATCGTCTTTCATCTCATGTTTCATTGCCTGCATGCCCTGATTTTCTATTCCTGGGGTCCCGTCCTTGGTAAACGCTACAGGTATACACAAGGCAGGTTGCTGTGCTTGTGCAATAGAGAATTGCATATTTTGAGGCGCCTATGAAATCCTCTCCTTTCCAAACCCCACTCCCCGTCCCATTCTATATGGTTACTATTCCAGGCATACACGAGTCAGATTGTGGTGCTGGTGCAACTGTTAATGCCTAATTTTGAGGCGCCTATAAAATCCTCTCCTTTCCAAACCACCACCCCCACCCCCCCACCCCCCGTCCTATTCGATATGGTTACTATTCCAGGCATACACGAGTCAGATTGCGGTGCTGGTGCTGATGGCTCTTGCGATTGGGGAGGACAGCATTTCCACGAAAGAGCGAAGAGAGCGGATCATAGACAGCCTCGTCGACCTGCCCAGTAAGTGCACTGTGCTTCGCCACCCGCTAAGTCGTCACTCAGTAAGTGCACTGTGCTTCGCCACCCGCTAAGCCGTCACTCAGTAAGTGCACTGTGCTTCGCCACCCGCTAAGCCGTCACTCAGTAAGTGCACGCAAATTGCGGTGCTGGTGCTGATGGCTCTGGCGATTGGCGAGGACAGCATTTCCACGAAAGGGTGAAGAGAGCTGATTAAAGAGAAGCTCGTTCACCTGTTTTGAGTTGACTCAAAATGAGCCGTGTTTTGAGTTGACTCAAAATGAGCCGTGTTTTGAGTCAACTCAAAATGAGCCGTGTTTTGAGTCGACTCAAAATGAGCCGTGTTTTGAGTCAACTCATAATGAGCCGTGTTTTGAGTCGACTCAAAACACGGATCATAGAGAAGCTCGCTGACCTGCCCAGAAAGTAACATTACCATGCACTGAGCCGTGCCTATGGAGTCTCACACTGGCCTTCCAATACTTTTCTTTTCTTACGATATAACAACTCGACAGCATCCTCCTTACCATACCCCATTCCTCTCCCCTATCACATAACACACCCTCCCCCATCCATGAGGTTTATCCAGCGAAAGTGTGCCAGGTGGCCAGAGGCCACGATAAGAGAGGTGCTGAGGCTGGATTCTGAGATCCAACAGTTGGCCTGCGCGCTGTTAATTGAGAACTCTCAAAAAACAGGCTCTGAGGCTGGATTCTGAGGTCCAACAGTTGGCCTGCGCGCTGTTAATTGAGAACTCTAAAAAAACAGGCTCTGAGGCTGGATTCTGAGGTCCAACAGTTGGCCTGCGCGCTGTTAATTGGGAACTCTAAAAAAAACGGCTCTGAGGCTGGATTCTGAGGTCCAACAGTTGGCCTGCGCGCTGTTAATTGAGAACTCTAAAAAAAAAGGCTCTGAGGCTGGATTCTGAGGTCCAACAGTTGGCCTGCGCGCTGTTAATTGAGAACTCTAAAAAAAAACGGCTCTGAGGCTGGATTCTGAGGTCCAACAGCTGGCCTGCGCGCTGTTAATTGAGAACTCTAAAAAAAACGGCTCTGAGGCTGGATTCTGAGGTCCAACAGTTGGCCTGCGCGCTGTTAATTGAGAACTCTAAAAAAAAAGGCTCTGAGGCTGGATTCTGAGGTCCAACAGCTGGCCTGCGCGCTGTTAATTGAGAACTCTCAAAAAACAGGCTCTGAGGCTGGATTCTGAGGTCCAACAGTTGGCCTGCGCGCTGTTAATTGAGAACTCTAAAAAAACAGGCTCTGAGGCTGGATTCTGAGGTCCAACAGTTGGCCTGCGCGCTGTTAATTGAGAACTCTCAAAAAACAGGCTCTGAGGCTGGATTCTGAGGTCCAACAGTTGGCCTGCGCGCTGTTAATTGAGAACTCTAAAAAAAAAGGCTCTGAGGCTGGATTCTGAGGTCCAACAGTTGGCCTGCGCGCTGTTAATTGAGAACTCTCAAAAAACAGGCTCTGAGGCTGGATTCTGAGGTCCAACAGTTGGCCTGCGCGCTGTTAATTGAGAACTCTAAAAAAACAGGCTCTGAGGCTGGATTCTGAGGTCCAACAGTTGGCCTGCGCGCTGTTAATTGAGAACTCTCAAAAAACAGGCTCTGAGGCTGGATTCTGAGGTCCAACAGTTGGCCTGCGCGCTGTTAATTGAGAACTCTCAAAAAAAGGCTCTGAGGCTGGATTCTGAGGTCCAACAGTTGGCCTGCGCGCTGTTAATTGAGAACTCTCAAAAAACAGGCTCTGAGGCTGGATTCTGAGGTCCAATACTTGGTCCGCGAGCTGTCTTTCGAGCAGAGCCTGCTGGTGTTTGGCCACGGGTACAATGCGAAACAGCATTTTTACCCTCCTTCGTTGCAGGTTGATTCTGAGAACTCTCGAAAGCAGCCTGTCTTTCGAGCAGAGCCTGCTGGAGTTTGGCCACGGGTGCAGCTGCGAAACAGCATTTTTACCCTCCTTCGTTCCCCTCCCCCAACACACCCGCCCTCCCATCACCCTTGCGTTTTATCCAGGGAATGTGCGGCCGGTGCTGAGGCTTGACTCTAAAATCCAGCAGCTAGCCCGCGAGCTGTCAGGCGAGCAGAGCCTGCTGGTGTTTGGGTGCGGGTACAGTCACGCAACATTCGTTGCAATTGACCATTGTTTCCAACCCCTTCCCCGCCCATCCAGGGAAGGTGCGGCAGGTGCTGAGGCTTGACCCAGAAATCCAACAGTTGGCCAGAGAGCTGTCAGGCGAGCAGAGCCTGCTGGTGTTTGGGCGCGGGTACAACCACGCAACAGCAGCCTTACCATTAACCACTGTTTTGAACCCCTACCCCAACCCTCAGGGAAAGTGCGGCAGGTGCTGAGGCTAGACTCTGAGATCCAGCAGCTAGCCCGGGAGCTATCAGGCGAGCAGAGCCTGCTGGTGTTTGGGCGCGGGTACAACTATGCGACGGCGGTGGAGGGGGCGCTGAAGGTGAAGGAGGTGGCGCTGATGCACAGCGAGGGCATTCTGGCCGGCGAGATGAAGCACGGCCCCCTCGCCCTCGTTGACGCCACCCTGCCTATCATCGTTGTTGCTACTCGTGATAGCACGTGCAGGTGAGGAGAGGGGTGGTGATGGGTGTGGAAGGGTAAGGAGGAGGTGGTTGAGGAGTTGAAGCACGGCCCCCTCGCCCTTGTTGACGCCGCCGCCCTGCCTATTATAGTTGTTGCTACCCGTGACTGCACCTGCAGGTGAGCTGGTTGGGTGGTGTGGTGGTGGGTGTGGTGTGGTTTTCGGAGGTAATGATTGGGCGTGGGGCTGCACAGCGAGGGAGGTAAGTTTCTCAACGGTTCCTAGCATTGGGTATGGCTGCAATAGTAGAGACCACCAAAAGATAATAGTATTTTACCTAAAATACAAATTACAAAATGCTCCACATAAGAGAGGGGTGTTCCGAGAAATGAACTCGGGACTTCTCGCACCCTAAGCGAGAATCATGCCACTAGACCAAACACCCACAAATTGCTCTGCCCGGTACCGTAAGATCTGATTTATGAAGTGGTAGAAAGAAAGGCAATCATTTTGGCCATCATGTCGGCTGTCGACTCGTCCTTGGACGTGAAGCGATCCGAGGAGATTAAGAAAGCAGCTTATCGGGCCTTTCAAGGTAAGAGCTTCTCGCAATGCCTCGTTGATGCCACTCTGCCCCCCTTTGACACCACACTTCCCATCGTTGGTGTCGCTACCCAGATGGCACCTGCAGGTGAGGAGGAGGGAAGGTGTGATGAGGAGGAGTAAGTAGTGATGGGGGGTGTGGAGAGATGCTGAAGTGTGGTGGATGTGCGGAGGTGAGGAGGAGTTGGTGGAAACGTGGAGCGTGCAATGGCGCCTGGTTGAAGGCGATGAAATGTGTACATGCACAACGCTTTCAGCAAAGTCGTGTTCCTTTATGTGATACCACGCCTCTTTTGTTCCATCCCCCTTTTCCGTGGCCCTTCTGCCCCCAATACAGCAAGCAGCAGTCAGTCATCCAACAGTTGCAGGCCCGCAGCGGCCGATTAATGGTGATCTGCTCTGAGGGAGATGCGGATCTCATGTGTCCAAATGGCGCGGCGAAGATAATTGAAGTGCCTCATGTGGAGGACTGCCTACAGCCCATCATTAATATTATTCCGCTACAGCTCCTCGCCTACCATTTGACTGTTATCAGGGGGTTTAACGTCGATCAACCTCGAAACCTTGCCAAGAGTGTCACGGTGGAGTGAATCTGATTTTTGGGTGGTTGGGCGGTGAGGGAGATGAGTGAAGGGGCAGGGGGGGCCTTATGTATATCATAGGTTTATGGAGTGGTTTTTTTGTTTGGTCAATACATACCTCATGTATCCTTTTTATACAGGTGGGGCATTCTAGGTCTACTGGTACGGAATTTTCAGGCATGGAACAATCATGTGCTCCTCGATCAGCCAGCAGTTGGGTTGGTTATGCAATGTGCATGTACTAACGCATCTAAAAATGATTATTCTGATGTTTCCTGCTGGACACTGAGATGCGCTCTTACACCGTTGCGCACGATCTTTTTACGAAGATAGTCCAAGCTGTTGGAGCTGACGTAATCGATTTGCTTTGCCACCAAGATTGCAGCTGTATGCTTGCAAATATCGCGTCACCAATTCCACATGGCATAGCAAGGGCGAGAACGTCGGGCGGTGCAGCACCAGCTGGTGCATGATGTCACTTAGCTGGTGACATCCCCAACTGTGTGTGGGAGCGTGATGCAAAACTTCGAGTACCGCAGTTCACCGTAGTGTAAAGTAATTAGAACGTACTGAACCCACCATTTAGGTTCCGTAATTGTCCTCAGCTTTGGTCCGTTTCACATGGCGCCCTGGCGCCAGATGCAGCTATTCCTGGCAGAGAGTGATTGTTTTCTTCAAAAGATTTCTTGATTTCTTGGGACATTTCTTGAATCCTGCTGCTTTTGTTCACTCATCCTGGCATTCTGCAGGCAACTCTCAGTTGCTTTGGCTCGCGTGTTATTAACTAGTCGCTTCTGCTATAAGTTAGAGCCGTTGAGTTGAAAATAATTTCGTATTAGCTTTATCCTCGTGTCAGTGTCGTTATTTCACTTGGCGTAGCCTTGTTGACTGCACCAGGCCAATTTAGCGATTTCGAGGAATCACGTCGTTTTCTCGGTTTTTTATCACTAGCCTTCTCCGCTCCTTTACGTGACTGGTCGTGTCGTTCCTACCAAACCGACTATGGCGGCGGGTGAAGCGGGGCGAAATTTCTTGATCGCGGTGGACGATTCGGAGGGCAGTCGCCACGCGTTACAATTCGCGTGCGAAAAGGTCGTCGAAGACAACGATAGGGTTACCATCGTTCACGTCCGACCCCATATTGAAGGTACAACAAAGCAGAGACGGCGATTGCAGCAGCAGCCGAAACCCTCGCCCCCTTCCTTCTCTCTCTCCCTTTTTCGGTGGCGAAATGACTCTTACCCGTTTCTTGTTCTTTATAACCATGGTTACGTGGCATGGCTCCTTGCAGAGGTGGACTTCTATGCCGCCCAGACCTACAAACAGGAGTTCGAGGCACAGTACCTTCGGGATAGTCACACGCTGCTCGACAAGTACCAAAAACTTGCTAGAACCTACAAAGTGAGCTAATAACGAAGAATGGTAATTTTGCAACATATGCCACCCTCCTTAATTATCGTTTCTGCCTTTCCTACTGCTTCGTTTCTACGCTTCGCCCCATCTCCCTCCCTGCCTTCCCTTCCGCCCTCCCACTTCTCCCTCCATTCCTTGTGCATTATCCTGCTTCGTCCGTCATCTGCGTTTCCTTCGAATCGCAGCCGTCGTTTAAGAACGAGTGGGTGACGAAGAGCACATGTGGCGACGCGAGGGAGAGGATTCTCGAGGCAGCGAGCGAAGTCGACCCTGATGTGATTGTTCTGGGAAGCCATGGGCACGGCGCTATAACGAGGTGGGCGCAGCGCTATAACGAGGTGGGCACAGCGCTATAACGAGGTGGGCACACCGCTATAACGAGGTGGGCTCAGCGCTATAACGAGGTGATCACATGCACATACCTTAGCTCACTACCTGCATCCACACCCAAAGTTCTAAGGGGTTGCGACGACACATAATGCTCCCCTCTGAACCCCTGTGGTCGTATGTTATGATTAGTTGTATTTTACTTGTTGACATGTCTGGATGGTGTAGTCGGTTATCACGCCAGTCTCACACACTGGAGGTCTCCGGTTCGATTCCGGGTTCAGACACTGTTTTGTTTCTTTCGCCTGGATGGTTTTAGCTAGCTTTCCTCCCTGGCCTATTACCCCTTTTTCATTTTACGACGCCATTGGAGAGTGTGAGTGACCTCTTGGAACTCACATTTTTATTACTTCCCTTTATAGTTTCCCCTTCTCCCTGTATGTCGCACTGCCCCACCCCCGGCTTGTGTACCTTTGAATTTTTACCCTGATCTTAATCCAGGGTGTTGCTGGGGCATGCTAGTTCCTTGTCCCTCCCCCCTTCCTCCCCACTTCTCCCCCACACCCTTTTCCCTAACTCTCGCTTCAGGGTGTTATTGGGGAGTGTGAGTGACCACGTGGCACACACTGCCAACTGTGCGGTCTCCAAAGTCCATCCCCTTCCTGACCCGCTCTCCCTTCCCCCCAACCTTTTTCCCCACTCTCATTCCAGGGTGTTTTTGGGGAGTGCGAGTTAAAACGTGGCACATACTGCGAGCTGTGCGGTCACGATTGTCCTTAAGCACATGAGTAATTGCATCCCCCACCCCTCAATTGCTCACCCTTTCCTCTGTTCCTTCTTCTCTGCTTTTCCGCTCTCGTGTCAGGGTCCTACTGGGGAGCGTGAGCGACCACGTGGCACACGCTGCTAATTGTGCGGTCATGATCGTCCCAACCCCCCGCCAATCAATTCCATCAACTGTAGCTTCTGCCATCCCTGGAATGGATGCACTATCCAAAGTCGTCAACTCGGCTCACTAGCACCGGCAGGTCCACCCCTTTGCACCCCTTTGCACCCTATTCCACGCCATTCCACTGCACAACACCCCATGCTATGCAATGTGACAATCCACCGTTGCTTCTGTCATTTTCGAGATGGCTGCGCTTTCCAATCCAGTGTGGTCAACTCGACACTTCAGTCCCAGTATTCGCATGCGCAGCCCATCAGAATGCCCAGTTGATCCGACCCGTTTTCTGGAAAATCTACGGTAACTTTTTCCCCTCCTTACGATGGGTGTGTGTTTCGGGGTTGTCTTGTCACATCAGCTACTGAGAGCTCTGGAAGATTCATGCTGTGGCACTTCGTGTGCTGGCACCACCTAGGTGTAGCTTTGTCCAGCACAAAAAGAGGCAGAAATGTGCGGAATCCTAGGTGGTTAGTTTGTTCCCTAGCAGCTAGGGGTGTGAAACACGAGGCTAGGCCCTGAGGCTCAGTTTGGTGTTAGAAGCTGTTGATGGGCTTTCAGATCGCAATGATTGTTGTAGATTGACGCTAATACGGTAGCCATTTCCTCCCAGCCGCTACTATTTTCAATGCCTTACTGGGCTATAACCAATGCGGTATGAAGCACAGTCGCGGTACGGTTCTGCCAAGAGTCATACACCATGAGGCCAAAGATAAACGAATCACCAATCTCACGGTTATTAAAACGTCCACAAAACCAGTGCTCCTAGGCACAGCACTGCATCATTCCAGAGAAACGAAACTCCTAAGTTGTATGTAGAAGGAAGGGTACCATCACTCGAACTCCTGTAATAGCATCAAAAGGAGCTGTGAGGGTGTGAGGATACTCCAGCAACACCTCGGCCTCACTCCCATAGTGCCAAAGCATTTTCTTCACTTGTCATGTCAACCTATCACTGGTGCTCCTGCATGTGAATCACAGCACGCAGGCACTCGCTCCCGTGCAGCAGGTCAAAGGCCTCGTTGATCTTCGAGAGGAAAACGTATGCTCTTAACACCCCCAACCTCACTCCCAACACTTGTAATCCTCTTTTCCCTGCATCCTATCACTGCTCCTCCATGTGAATCACAGCGCGCAGGCACTTGCCACCATGCAGCAAGTCAAAGGCCTCGTCTATCCTAGTGAGAGAGAAGTGCCGTGACACACGTATCACTGCTCCTCCATGTGAATCACAGCGCGCAGGCACTTGCCCCCATGCAGCAAGTCAAAGGCCTCGTTGATCTTCGAGAGAGGGAGGTTGTGCGTGATGTACTCATCTACCTTGATCTCCTGTTACCGGGTAACATGCAGGAAGGGGTGGGTAGAAAAGAGGAAGTGAGGAGAGTGGGAGGATGAGAAGAGGTTGTGTGTGATGCACTCGTCCACCTTGATCTCCTGTTACCGGGTAACACAAGGGGGCAAGAAAAAGGTTGGGGAGAGCAGAGAGAAAGACGGATAGTGTGTGAGAGAGAGGCAGGTTGTGCGTGATGCACTCGTCCACCCTGATCTCCTTTTACCGGGTAACACAAGGGGGCAAGAAAAAGGTTGAGGAGAGCAGAGAGGAAGAGCGAGGTTGTGTGTGATGCACTCGTCCACCTTGATCTCCTGTTGATGCGTACAAACGTGGAGAGGGGGAGAGATGTGGAGAGATCGAGAGAGTTAGCATGGAAAGATGGAGGCAGGTTGTGTGTGATGCACTCGTCTACCTTGATCTCCTGTTGGTGGGATGACACACAAGAGTGGTCGAGAAATGAAAACAGTTAGTAATACAACAAAAGAAAGGCCTGTGCTCCTGACTGCACATGCATACTGCACATGCGTACTGCACATGCGTACTGCACATGCGTACTGCACATGTGTACTGCACATGCGTACTGCACATGCGTACTGCACATGCGTACTGCACATGCGTACTGCACATGCGTACTGCACATGCGTACTGCACATGCGTACTGCACATGCGTACTGCACATGCGTACTGCACATGCGTACTGCACATGCATACTGCTCATGCACCTCGCACACCACATGCACAAATAACACCTACCTTGTTCATATGCTTGTCCACCAGCTGAGGCACATCCGTGCGACTCTTGAACCCCCTGAAAGCCGTGCCGCGCCACACACGCCCCGTGACCAGCTGAAATGGCCGCGTGGAGATCTCCCGCCCTGCTGCTGCGACTCTGATAATCACTGACTCGCCCCACCCCTTGTGGCAGCACTCCAGCGCAGCGCGCATGAACCCTCCACGCCCCTACCCTCATTCGTGCACCCCCCAGGCTCACAAGCTCACAGGATCACACACCACATGCACAGATAACACATACCTTGTTCAAATACTTGTCCACAAGCTCTGGCACGTGGGTCCGGCTCTTGAACCCGCCAAACGCCGTGCCGCGCCACACACGCCCCGTGACCAGCTGGAACGGCCGCGTGGAAATCTCCTGCCCAGCCGCTGCCACTCCTATGATCACCGACTCGCCCCACCCCTTGTGGCAGCACTCCAGCGCTGCCCGCATGACTGCTGTGTTGCCGATGCACTCAAAACTGTAGTCCACTCCCCCGTCCGTCAGCTCTACCAGAACTTCCTGAATGGGCCGGCTGTGGTCCTTGGGATTCACAAACTCGGTCACACCGAATGCCTTGGCTGCAGAAGAGGAAGGGCGAGGGGAAAAGAAGGGAAAATAAAGGAAAAGAGGGGGACGGAAAGACAGATGCACTCGAAGCTGTAGTTCACTCCTCCGTCTATCAGCTCCACGAGGCTGTGGTCCTTGGGATTCACAAACTCAGTCCCTCCGAATTGCTTGGCTGTAGGAGAGAATTGGTGTGGAAAATAGAAGGGAAGACGAGGGATAAGAGGGGAAGGGAAAGAGGGACGCACTCAATGCTGTAGTCCACCGTGCTGTCTGTCAGCTCGACTAGCACGCCTTGAATCAGGTGGTTGTGGTTCTTAGGATTCACGAAACCGGTCACTCTGAAATCCTTGGCTGCAAGGGGAGGGGAAGTGAAGGGAATGATGGATGCGCTAAAAGCTGTAGTCCAACCCTTCGTCTGTGAGGCTCACCACGGAGCACAATGCCTTGGCTGTTGCTGCTGCTACTCGGTACATGTGGTGCGTCATCATTACGTCCTTGCAGGCATGCATGCTTGTGCGAAGCACCCCACCTGTTTCAAGCATGGAAGGGTCGAGGTCCAATCCAATGATGCGCGATGCCTTGGCTGACACTCACTAGTTGGAGTTGGGGCGCTAGGCTCGCGGCTAAACTCTTGCATGCATGCGTGTATTTCATGTGTCACAGGGCGCATGCGCAAAGCATCCCACCTTTTTCAAACTTGGAAGGGCCGAGGTCCACTCCAATGATGCGCGATGCCTTGGCTGCCACTACTTGGTTGGTTTGATACACTTGGAGTGGCACCACGTTGTGAAATGTGTACCAGCCTACACATGACAACCCTCCCCACCTCGTTCAAACTTCTCAAGCTGGTGGTCCACGCCAATGATGCGCGACTTGGTAGGCATCATAGGCGTTGACCGCACCCAGCATGCGTGAGTGCATGCTTTGTCACACCAAGCATGCATGAATGGACGCTTTGTCACACCAAGCATGCTTGAATGGACGCTTTGTCACACCAAGCATGCATGAATGGACGCTTTGTCACACCAAGCATGCTTGAATGGACGCTTTGTCACACCAAGCATGCATGAATGGACGCTTTGTCACACCAAGCATGCTTGAATGGACGCTTTGTCACACCAAGCATGCTTGAATGGACGCTTTGTCACACCAAGCATGCATGAATGGACGCTTTGTCACACCAAGCATGCATGAATGGACGCTTTGTCACACCAAGCATGCATGAATGGACGCTTTGTCACACCAAGCATGCTTGAATGGACGCTTTGTCACACCAAGCATGCATGAATGGACGCTTTGTCACACCAAGCATGCTTGAATGGACGCTTTGTCACACCAAGCATGCATGAATGGACGCTTTGTCACACCAAGCATGCATGAATGGACGCTTTGTCACACCAAGCATGCATGAATGGACGCTTTGTCACACCAAGCATGCTTGATTGGACGCTTTGTCACACCAAGCATGCATGAATGGACGCTTTGTCACACCAAGCATGCTTGAATGGACGCTTTGTCACACCAAGCATGCTTGAATGGACGCTTTGTCACACCAAGCATGCATGAATGGACGCTTTGTCACACCAAGCATGCTTGAATGGACGCTTTGTCACACCAAGCATGCATGAATGGACGCTTTGTCACACCAAGCATGCATGAATGGACGCTTTGTCACACCAAGCATGCATGAATGGACGCTTTGTCACACCAAGCATGCTTGAATGGACGCTTTGTCACACCAAGCATGCATGAATGGACGCTTTGTCACACCAAGCATGCATGAATGGACGCTTTGTCACACCAAGCATGCTTGAATGGACGCTTTGTCACACCAAGCATGCTTGAATGGACGCTTTGTCACACCAAGCATGCATGAATGGACGCTTTGTCACACCAAGCATGCATGAATGGACGCTTTGTCACACCAAGCATGCTTGAATGGACGCTTTGTCACACCAAGCATGCATGAATGGACGCTTTGTCACACCAAGCATGCTTGAATGGACGCTTTGTCACACCAAGCATGCATGAATGGACGCTTTGTCACACCAAGCATGCATGAATGGACGCTTTGTCACACCAAGCATGCTTGAATGGACGCTTTGTCACACCAAGCATGCATGAATGGACGCTTTGTCACACCAAGCATGCATGAATGGACGCTTTGTCACACCAAGCATGCATGAATGGACGCTTTGTCACACCAAGCATGCATGAATGGACGCTTTGTCACACCAAGCATGCATGAATGGACGCTTTGTCACACCAAGCATGCATGAATGGACGCTTTGTCACACCAAGCATGCATGAATGGACGCTTTGTCACACCAAGCATGCATGAATGGACGCTTTGTCACACCAAGCATGCATGAATGGACGCTTTGTCACACCAAGCATGCATGAATGGACGCTTTGTCACACCAAGCATGCATGAATGGACGCTTTGTCACACCAAGCATGCTTGAATGGACGCTTTGTCACACCAAGCATGCATGAATGGACGCTTTGTCACACCAAGCATGCTTGAATGGACGCTTTGTCACACCAAGCATGCTTGAATGGACGCTTTGTCACACCAAGCATGCATGAATGGACGCTTTGTCACACCAAGCATGCTTGAATGGACGCTTTGTCACACCAAGCATGCATGAATGGACGCTTTGTCACACCAAGCATGCTTGAATGGACGCTTTGTCACACCAAGCATGCATGAATGGACGCTTTGTCACACCAAGCATGCATGAATGGACGCTTTGTCACACCAAGCATGCATGAATGGACGCTTTGTCACACCAAGCATGCATGAATGGACGCTTTGTCACACCAAGCATGCATGAATGGACGCTTTGTCACACCAAGCATGCTTGAATGGACGCTTTGTCACACCAAGCATTCTTGAATGGACGCTTTGTCACACCAAGCATGCTTGAATGGGCGCTTTGTCACACCAAGCATGCATGAATGGACGCTTTGTCACACCAAGCATGCATGAATGGACGCTTTGTCACACCAAGCATGCATGAATGGACGCTTTGTCACACCAAGCATGCTTGAATGGACGCTTTGTCACACCAAGCATGCTTGAATGGACGCTTTGTCACACCAAGCATGCATGAATGGACGCTTTGTCACACCAAGCATGCTTGAATGGACGCTTTGTCACACCAAGCATGCTTGAATGGACGCTTTGTCACACCAAGCATGCTTGAATGGACGCTTTGTCACACCAAGCATGCTTGAATGGACGCTTTGTCACACCAAGCATGCTTGAATGGACGCTTTGTCACACCAAGCATGCATGAATGGACGCTTTGTCACACCAAGCATGCATGAATGGACGCTTTGTCACACCAAGCATGCATGAATGGACGCTTTGTCACACCAAGCATGCATGAATGGACGCTTTGTCACACCAAGCATGCTTGAATGGACGCTTTGTCACACCAAGCATGCATGAATGGACGCTTTGTCACACCAAGCATGCTTGAATGGACGCTTTGTCACACCAAGCATGCTTGAATGGACGCTTTGTCACACCAAGCATGCATGAATGGACGCTTTGTCACACCAAGCATGCTTGAATGGACGCTTTGTCACACCAAGCATGCATGAATGGACGCTTTGTCACACCAAGCATGCATGAATGGACGCTTTGTCACACCAAGCATGCATGAATGGACGCTTTGTCACACCAAGCATGCTTGAATGGACGCTTTGTCACACCAAGCATGCTTGAATGGACGCTTTGTCACACCAAGCATGCATGAATGGACGCTTTGTCACACCAAGCATGCATGAATGGACGCTTTGTCACACCAAGCATGCTTGAATGGACGCTTTGTCACACCAAGCATGCATGAATGGACGCTTTGTCACACCAAGCATGCTTGAATGGACGCTTTGTCACACCAAGCATGCTTGAATGGACGCTTTGTCACACCAAGCATGCATGAATGGACGCTTTGTCACACCAAGCATGCTTGAATGGACGCTTTGTCACACCAAGCATGCATGAATGGACGCTTTGTCACACCAAGCATGCATGAATGGACGCTTTGTCACACCAAGCATGCATGAATGGACGCTTTGTCACACCAAGCATGCTTGAATGGACGCTTTGTCACACCAAGCATGCATGAATGGACGCTTTGTCACACCAAGCATGCATGAATGGACGCTTTGTCACACCAAGCATGCATGAATGGACGCTTTGTCACACCAAGCATGCTTGAATGGACGCTTTGTCACACCAAGCATGCATGAATGGACGCTTTGTCACACCAAGCATGCATGAATGGACGCTTTGTCACACCAAGCATGCATGAATGGACGCTTTGTCACACCAAGCATGCATGAATGGACGCTTTGTCACACCAAGCATGCTTGAATGGACGCTTTGTCACACCAAGCATGCTTGAATGGACGCTTTGTCACACCAAGCATGCTTGAATGGACGCTTTGTCACACCAAGCATGCATGAATGGACGCTTTGTCACACCAAGCATGCATGAATGGACGCTTTGTCACACCAAGCATGCATGAATGGACGCTTTGTCACACCAAGCATGCTTGAATGGACGCTTTGTCACACCAAGCATGCATGAATGGACGCTTTGTCACACCAAGCATGCTTGAATGGACGCTTTGTCACACCAAGCATGCTTGAATGGACGCTTTGTCACACCAAGCATGCTTGAATGGACGCTTTGTCACACCAAGCATGCTTGAATGGACGCTTTGTCACACCAAGCATGCTTGAATGGACGCTTTGTCACACCAAGCATGCATGAATGGACGCTTTGTCACACCAAGCATGCATGAATGGACGCTTTGTCACACCAAGCATGCATGAATGGACGCTTTGTCACACCAAGCATGCATGAATGGACGCTTTGTCACACCAAGCATGCTTGAATGGACGCTTTGTCACACCAAGCATGCTTGAATGGACGCTTTGTCACACCAAGCATGCATGAATGGACGCTTTGTCACACCAAGCATGCATGAATGG